ACGGGCGGCGGGGGGGGGGGGGGGGGGGGGGGGGGGGGCACATTTTGTGCCTAATGGGATGTTTCTTTTTATGATGCAGACAACTGGGCACTACAGAACTGGTCTCAATTTGCCAATGCTTGTCATATACGTCACCTAGAAACCTCTAGATAGTTGCACAGCTTTCGGAAGCTACCTCCTATAATAAACTAGAGGCTCCATTCTCAATTCTGAAACCTCTGGTTCCCATGACACTCACTTCGTATAAAGCTAGGAGTATCAGACCCCAATACCATAATCCTGCCACTGGCTCCATTTCCTCTGCCTGCTAATGGAGGGCAAACATTATGAATGACTTGTAAACTACGTATGACAAGACAGAGCCATCACTTCTTAGCTACCTGTCAGGACCCACAGCACAGCCCATGCAACACACTACATCAAGAGAAATCTTTTGCTGGTGGTCAGGAAAGGAGTCAGACTCATTCCTGACCCTGCTGCTTTACACAGGGGCAAAATGGATCTTGCAGTCCTTGCTACTACCCCCAAGAAACCACAGGAAAGTGCAACTCCAAATAAAAATATCAGAGGGGGGAAAAGCATCCTACTGAATTACACAACACCTGCTTATTCTTCCTAGTCCATCTCCTGCCCATCATGCATGACCCTGCACAGCTTGATATTTGATCAGGTTACAGCATAAAATGGAAATATAAGCATCAATTCTCCCTTCCGGTTTCTCACAAGCGAGATGTTAGTCAGTGACTAACATGTATGACACGTCCTTGTCACTGTCTGTCCAGAAAGTTGTAGAACCAACGCTAAAGTTCAGAAGTTGGCAGTGACCTAAGGCAAGACGGTTAACTCAAACTAGTGCAAAACCAAGTTATGGTCTCTTCTAGGTAAAGAGATCACCTTACTTTGGCCTGCTCTGTCAACAAGTTGCTGGCATGAAAAAGGAAAACTCACCGTGTGAAGCTCTCTCTTGAATATGATGAGTGTGACAAAGCCAGCAATGACAAAAATTGGACTAAGACTCAAGTAGGCTAAGAGTTGACCAGAGAAATCACCTGTAGAAGTAAAGAGAAAAACAAATCAGCCTGAATTTTACATATCTGCCCAACACAGACAGCTGTAGGCTGGCAGCTCACACACAAGAGTAATGGCTTGGTAGCCCAGTGGTAGAGCCCTATATGGCAGACCCATGTGGACTCAGCATTTCAACCAAGCTACAAGTGAAGGATAAAGGAGGCTGAAAGCAGGCAGAGTGGCAGTGCCTAACTTCAGAAACAGGCAGAAGGGGAGGAAGATGGAACAAGCCTGACACCAACCAAAAGCAATTTCTGCTAGCCAGATTACACCAGTGTGGAGAGACCAAGCAGTTCCCCTGTCTAGGCATGAAAGTATGAACCCCAAAAGACGACAGATATCAGAGTTGAAGCATAATGTGCACAACACAAATGGCACTATATAGTAGTCTGTGTAAAGCATCCTTACCTATTCATTCCTCAAGAAGAACATATTGTCTACATTTGTATCTTCCCTAAAGAGTTTGTAGACTCAAAACAAAAACAAAAAATCACCAAACTAATTCTAAGATCAGCAACCAAGCACAAAAGGAGTCATGTTATTTGTTTCTTCAACAGGTTCTTGTATACCCCTTTTAAAAAATGATCTCCATTTAAAAAAAAAATTCAAAAAACAGAGCAAAAAAACTCAGTTAAAAAAATTGTTAGTGATTCTGCTACAATGCAGACTTATTAGAAAAATGCTGGCAACCCTACCCCATGATCAGCAAAATCAAAAAACAGGGAAAAGGCTTTGGTGGGCTCAAACTATTCTCACCATGACAATACAGTCCTTCCAACCTCACTACACAAAACACAGAAGGATCTGTTCCTCCCTGATCCCTCCTGCATATCAGCTTCAAACTCGAGGCCTCACACCCATGACAGTCTTGCTAATACTTCAGCAAAACATGCGCTCATCAAGTTCTCACCTTCTGGTAGTCCTCCCTTCCCTCGCATCCTCCCCCTTCCCCATTAGTTTAACAAGATCTTAGCTTCTAATCAGGTTCCCACATTTCTTCTTCCTTCATGGAAGATCACCAGGCTTGGTCAGACTGCTAAAAATCTACTGAGTAGGGAGTTTTAAAGGCCCCTGCATATCATACCCAAAAGATAGTTAAGTGATGCATCTTCCAGGAAAATAGGGAAGTTGGATGTAGGGTGCAACAGTAAGGGGACAACTAATTGGTACATATACCAAAGTAGTGAAATAGATACCCTTGCAGGTGTACCTTATCCAGTAAATAGAGATGGATTTCTATAGTTATTCAATGTACAACAAAGATTTAAAAGATGTAACTATCCTATCACACTTCAGACATGTAAGTCCCTGTGTACTTCTCTGCCAGTTTAAATCGGCCAGTTGATAATGATTAAAGGCTCTCTAGTTATGTCTACTGTGTCATTTAAATTTTACATGTACTGTGTGCTGCAAACTGCAAATGAAGCTGAACTGTGCAAGGCTGGGGCCCAGCCGATGCAGCCACCTGCAACAATACCCTCCAAAGAAATCTGAGCCCTGCCATGTGCAACTGATTCATTCCTAGATCAATTTAGTTTCCTTCCTCTGTATATGGCATTTCCGCCCCAACACACACACTCATAGCCTAGTTTTTAGCTGAACTCAAAACAGTAGCAATTGGCATGATGATGTTTGGCTTCAAGAACTGGAGCTAAACAAAAATCTCCCTCTCAGCTCTGAAGTCCATGCTGCTGGGTGCATTGCCAGATGCCTGTACAATCACCTGTGATACACCATGCAGTCTCCTTTAAAATGCCAAGCTCTGCACCACTTACAGTTAGAAGCTACTAAGATTATTAATAGCAAGAGATTGCTGAAGACTTTCAGCCTGAGAAGTATAAAGAATTTGGACTAATGTAAGAAACAAACATAAAACACATGGGTGTTTTATTTGTTTAATTAAACTGAACCCCTATTAAATAGACCTCAGGCTCAATTCTGTTGTCCCATAACTAACAGTCATTTATACCAATGCAAAGCAAATGCAAAATGGCTGTCAAACGCTACCAAAGACCAAAAAAAAAAAAAATCAGAATATTTATGATATCTGTTTTGCTTTGGTGTAAGCAACAGCACAAGCTGCCAGAAAAATCACACCTTTTGTGTCTAAGTACTGTCCAACAACAACGTAAGCACCAAAAGAGATTCATCTTAAGACCGCTTGCCTCCAGACAGCCAAAACTATACTGGAAATAACTTTCAAGGAATTTAAGCCATAGGTGCCAACTTTTATTTTTGCTGGGAGGTTGGAAGGGAGGGGGCAAGATGAAGCCCACCCCCCCAGGAGCATGACTGAGTGGAGCCCATGGGTGGGGGGAGGGTGAAGGCAGATGGGGGCTGCCTGCTGGGAACTCAGGACTCCCTGCCCTGTTGCGCTTCCCCTGGAAGCCCCATGCTGGCCATAGAGAGGTGCCCCCTGCCTGCCCAGCAGCAGTGAGGGGCACAACAGCACATGGCACACCCTGCAGCCCCTTGCAGGCTGGAACGCTCTGTGGTGAACAGTAAACCTGGATCCCTGCACAATACTAGGAACCCAAGGCAAAGGCTGTCCCAGAGTCATCCAGCCTAGGACTGGCACTTAATGTTCCCATTTCAGGACTGTCCTGCCCAGTTAGAGATGGGTGGTCACCCTACCCTCTTCTCAAAGTGGGCCAGGGCCCTCAGGCTCCCACATACTCAGCGCCTATGGTTTAAGCTCCAAAGTCATGTACCAGCATTCAGCAGCACTGCACGTGAAATCATTCATTCTTCTAATCTGTAGCACATAAAGCTTTGAAAAATCAAGTTAGACCTAAACACAGTGACTACTTAATAAAGAAGTTGAGATACAAATAGTCCTTTGAGAACACTGAACTAGATACAGGAACTCAAGAGAGCATAACAGAAAACTTCAGAATGCTAGAATACAGTCAAGTTAATACTCCAATTCATCCAAGCAGTAAAGTCTGGTGACCATTGCTAGAGCTAGTGGCCACGATCTAGGACACAGCCTACGCTAGTGAACAACCACTTGCACCAAACTGACTTTGTGCCTTTCATAGTCACCTGTTCAGGTAAATCTCTCTCAAACACTTCAGCCTCCTCAGCCCTTCAGAACAGAACTGTTAGCCACAATAACATATTACACACTATTAATGTTAGTGACATCCTAACAGAACCAGATTATAAAACCACATAGGTAGTAGTGCGAAGGGGTCTGATTTGGTCTGGTACAATTTTCAGGAAAATGAGACTCCCACCCAATTTAGTCAAGGAAACTATGCTAGAAGTCTTCTAACAAGTGGATGCAGTGGTTTGGTGGACAGTTTTAGCTGGCACAGACATAATCCAAGAGTGGAAAAGGCCCAAGTCTTTAAGAGAGAATGCATGGCGCAGATCATGTAAAAGAAAAGCTAACTGTTTCATCACATTCTTGGGAGTTTCAGAAATGGCAGAAATGGAACATAACTGATAGGATATGAGTCAAGACATGGAGATATCTATACGCATGGGAGGTTAATAGTAAGTACCCCAGATAAACCAGTTCTATAATAGGACTCTAAAAAGACAAAAGTGAGCAAAGTCTTTTCTCCACTCCACAAACCTCCAACAGCTGTTAGGAGATATTCTTAGCAGCAGCCTTTGTCCAAGCCCAAGAATTAAAAACACAAACAAAAGCAAAACAATCCCACGCTCCCCCCACCCCACACACCTCATCTGTTTAGTATGCTGTTGTTTTAAATTCAAAAACTTTCATTTAAAACAGTAAGTAAAACATGAAACATTTTTTAAAAATAACCTCAAAATACAAATGGATGAAACAGCATTCATGACTAAAAATATATTAAATTCTAGATATTACTTCCAATGTCTTATGGGGATTTTTTTCAATTAACAAAATGCATATTTTTTACCCAGCATCCCTTTAGTGTTGACTGGAAATAGCTGAGGTTTACCACTTTAGCATGATCTGAATGCAATGTAAAAAATATGAATTAATGTCACCATGACCACATCCTGCCAACAAGGACTATCTTTACCGCTGCCACCACTGTTTCCTATCAAGATGTCTACTTCTGGCAGCACTGTGTTACAGGTGATTTTGCAAGAGCATAAGCTACACGTGTCATGAAGGCTTTCCACTTTGTCAATACATTCTGTACTCAAGCAAAATGCATGAGGAACTGCCACTTCTTGCTTTTCATGACTGCCCTCATACTGCTAGCACAAGATGTGACACCTTAAGAATAACCACCTCTTAGTCATCTTTGAGGATGATAAAGACTGTGGCATGACAAAGGTTCTCATCACAACCCAACACACTTCTGAAAGACTAAATGGGGAATAAAATACCATGGCGGCAGCACCAGTCTCTCCCAGTAAATGTTACTTCAACATGGAAGGAGCAATAGCTCTGGAGAGAGGGGCAGTCCCAACAAGTCACAATAAGGCATAGAAAAAAAATGTTCTTACAGAAACTACAGTTAGCCTGGTTAAGAAACAACAAGTATATATTAAAGTAAGAGCGTATACACAAACTAGTACTTTTGCTTGCATGCAATAGTTACACATGCTAGTTTTGTTAGTGCCTAGTATCAACTAAACATGCTAAATGTGTTTGGCTTCTCTGACAAATTTATTATCTTAAAAACTTGACAGCGAGATGGAGAATTTTGCTAGTTTAGGGACAGGATTTGCTAAGTCCATCTCCTTTTTTCATACAGGAGTCAACTTTGCCTCTCAAGGACATCACCTCTTCATCTTTTCTGAGGAAGTCATGGAGCCTTAAAGAATCCAGCTCTCCCAAAGAAAAAGCTTAAAAATATTAAAAAGCCAGGAACTTAATGTTTCTCCAATTGATTGTGCAGAAAAGAACCCCCTTAATAGGATGGGTAGAATTTAAAGGCCCCAAGACAATATACATCAGAAGTTGTGTCCGGATAGTATTTTCAGTTTGTTGGTCTTTAAAAAAAAGTGTCACAATGCAGCTGCTGTGTTATGT